ATTGGTATTGACATTAGTATTCGTACTGGTATGGATACTGGTATAAATATTGGTATTGGTATTGTTTGATATTAGTGTTCGTATTGGTATTTGAATTGGTATAGATACTGGTATTAACACTAGTATTAATATTGGTATTGGAAATAATATTGGTATTGGTATTGTTTAATATAAGCATTGACATTAGTATTCGTATTGGTATGGGTATTGCTATTGGTATTAATGTTGGTATTAGTATTTTTATTGATATAATTATAGGTGTTGGTATTAGTATTGGTATTGCTATATCTATTGGTATTTGTCTATTATTGGTCTTAATATGATTATTTTGAAAATTGTAATTGTGATGATAATTTTGAGGTTTATATAAATATTAATTTCGAAATTTAGGAACACTAAATCGGGAGAGATAGTGAGAGTTATATATTCGCACAAATGTTAGCGATCATACTCTATGTGTGGAGCTGATTTTTCAAACACCCTTAGTAGGACCTTGAATGACTTCTAACCAAACGCAGACAATTGTTCCGCTTATGCGATCACCAGAAGTTAGCTAATGTATAACATTTTCAGGTATTCATACGATACCGCAAGTTAAATGAGTGCAATATAAGCAAGCAAATCTGCGGTCGCATTCAATAGCTAATATTTAATAAGCTACCACATTTGTTTATAAGCGCATAGGCTTACATACTTACCTGTATATGAGTGTGGTATTTATGGGTGCCTAGTAGTCAAGTGATAAATATATAACTTTGCATGTGTTTTTATCTGATTTCCTGTAATTGATAGCATTAAGTTGTCAGACATTTCACTTTCATTGCACAGCAGCGAGTGCAACAAATACACAGGGGGCACATAATAATCGATTATTGGTAGCTAAAAGCTAAACAAAGTGTAGAGTTATCACACAATCATGTATGTGTGTGTATGTGTGTCGCGCCTACCTGGAAGGTGTCAACATGACTGCGTATAGAAAATATGATATATGCGCACAAACATGCACAAACGTGCATATTGCAGCTATTGAAAACCACTTTTGCGGTTAACTAGCTGCAATCGGCCAACGTGCACACGCATACAAACATACATATGCATTGTACGTAGCGTATAACTAACATTCCGGTAAATATGAGAATGTGTGTCACCGTGAGATATGCGCGCTTCGACTGGCAACTTGCAGTGCAGCGGTGTCAATAAGGCGCTGATAGTGATTAGATATATGCGCTTGTAAATATATATGTATGTATGTAGTGGCTATATTCGTAGCTATGTGGGCTTGCAAGTGGGTTTGAGTGTTCCACTATCCATATTTGCTCAGTACTTGAATCGTTATGGCACTCTATCAATAGAGATACTAGGCTTGAGAAAAGTGCGTGCGTGTGTGTATGTGCATGTTTCTGTATATATTTGTTCCACATTTGTGGATGTGTTTGTCGACTACCAAGTGGTAATTCAACATATTTCTCTGCACGCTTATCATTTTCCATTATTCAATTGGGTAAATCTGTCTCCATTGCGACTCATTTGCGCTGAAAGTAGGTGAATTGTGGTAGACAACATTACACAGATGTAGCGCTACATACGTACATAGATGTATGTACATATATATTTTTTACTGTAAACATTTTCGCTGATGGCTCTTTCGTATGCACACTGCTTTTTCCAGCTCGTGCACATGCGTCTGCAACGAAACCAACGACGCGGCTGTGGTTTTCTATGTCTTTCTGTTTTACACCACTTTGTTGTTGTTGTTTTTTCAATGAAAATATTAAATTTATTTTTTCGCGCCCATATTGTGTATACATTAGGGTGAAGCGAAAATAATAATTATTTTTTTTGCTTAGCCTGAGCGTAAAATTTGAAGATCATAATAAAAGAATTTTTTTTTAATATCTAGAGGCGACTTATAAAATTAATTTCGAGTTAAAATTTTTTTGTTATTTTAAACTCCTCACATTTATATAAAAAGTACTGAGTTTAACGGATTTTGACTAAAAATTTATTTAAACGACCACAAAAATTTTTTTTAAGTTGATAACTTTTAATTGGCCATAAAGAGGACTCTCCACAGCTTCAAGAACATGTATTAAAATTGGTTTACGATGTAAAAATTTACTTTAAAAGTGAGTGGGCTAGATGTTAAAAAAAAAAAAAAAATGCTTTCTCCAAAATTTTATTTTTTTAAAATCTACCAATTTTTACCCTCAGGCTAAGCAAAAAAAAATTTTTTTTTCGCTCCACCCTAGTATACATAAGCTACTTTTATAATATGTTAAATTTAAGTTTGAGATCTGAATCTTTCTAGAAACCACAAGATATCACATGATATAAATAAAGATATTAAAATTTTGTTTAAAATTTTTCAATTTTATTACATATTAAATTGCGGTTATTACAGGAATCCAGCCAATCAATCACCTCGCGCGTCTTCGAGGGCTGCGGACGTCCTACTATCGGCCGCACGCGCCGTTCGGTCAGTCCAAAGTTTAGCCAACCCATTTACACCCAGCAACAGCCACATGCGCAGTCAACGTCGGTGGTTCTGACCAGCTCCGATTCGAAAGTGATACGCAAACGCGCCACGCTGGACGTGCCAGCCGAGCAAATCGAATCGGATATTTTGGATATTGACGCGGACGTTGACGATGCGATTGTGTTGCGTGAACGGCGCGCCGCTGAACCCATCGCAGAGGAGCAGAGCGCGGATGGCGTTAAAACAAATGATGATGCGGTTGTTGGCGCGGGTGCGGCAGGCAATGGTGGCGGCCGTGGCGGCGGACGTGACAAGCAGCAGCGACGCAAGAACCAGCAAAATCGCAAAAACGACGATGACAATGGACGCGATCCGAATCTCGATAAGTTGGTGCGCGAGATTAGACAGCGTGTGAAGGAATCGAAGAAGTTCTGGTCAAATCTACCGCATCAGATTTGCAGCAACGATGAAATCTCCACATCCTCGGATGTCGACGGCATGTGCTGGAACGGACACACGATCGATAGGTAAGCGGCGCGCGCACAGTATTCTTATGAAAACAAATTTGAAACTTTCACTTTCTTTCGCTGCAGATATATGCACCCAGTGACAAGCGAGCAGAGCCGCAATCCCGAATTCCCTGGCAATCCAGCCACTACAAGTCAAACATCGCAAGTTGCCACACAACTTTTCTACCTGAAAAATGTTATCAATCATCTGCGTAACGCGTACAATGGACAGGACGTGGACTGGAGTGATCAAGGTAGAACTAAAAACATTGCATACTTTTATGCGCAATAAACATGCTCATGTTTGATGATGTTCTGTTTCAGAAGATGCTCTCTATGGCAGCGGTGCTGGCTCTGGAGCAGGCAGCGACGACGAGGACGACGATGAAGGCTCCGGTCTCAGCGGCGGTCCATTCACACCACCACATATGAAACCCACCGATCGTCCCGGCTCTTTGCCAGCGAATAACATCGATGATGAGGATGAGGAAGATGTGGAAGAGCGACGCATTACAGACAGCTCGCATACGACACGTCCCAAATATCCAGGCAGCGTCGGTACGGGTGATGGTGCCGCTGCTGGCGGTGATACGAACTCTATTGATGAGGACGAGGATGATGTCGACGACAATGATTTGAATGAGCAGAAGAGTGATAGTGGAAACGCGGGCGCAAAGACTGCGCCTAAAATGACTTTACGACGCGCGTTATTGTTGTATCTGCTGCCGCTATATATGGCGTGGTTTGGTGGTGTTGTAGCCGATATGCTGTGATTTGTTGTTGTTGCTATTGCTTAAGTCGTATTAAGGACACGGACAAACAGTGTGGCGTCGAATTTGTATGTATTATAGCTTGTGTTTTGTGGTTAAGTGGCAGCAATGGCAGGAGAGTGGAAATTGTGTGAGCGGAAGTATGGTATGAAAATAACGTAGCATGCTTTCAGGCGCCAAAAGTGATTTGTGCTGGAAGCCCGATGAAACGCAAACGTTTTTTCGACATTTACCTCAAAGAATTTGCAGACACTTAACATTTTATTATTAATTTTGAAATGAAATTTTTTCACTTATTCTAATTTTCATATCACACTGCGGCCGCTTAGATTTCGACACTAAATTCCACTTCCAAGCTAACTGAAAACACACAGCAAGTTATTATACAGCAGATTCCCATAATTTTTCGACTTATGTTTGGCATGCTGCAATCTTTGTATTTTCAATGTTTCATTGTAACATACTTTTAGGCGCTTTAACAATTACTCGAACAAAAGCCTAGCAGCGAAGCTCAAAAACTTGCAACACTACAGCAGTTAGTGAATGCCAAGTGAAAGTCTGCTTTTAGGCGCATTTCTATGTCAACTTGTATTATAACTACTTATTTGGCTCTTTTATGCATAACACAAATTACAAGAACAAACATGTTTAGCATAGGAATGAGAGAAAAAATTATAAATTGAACTTGAAGCGAAGCAAATCATTTATATACGTAAACAAGAAAACAGTTTTAAAAAGTTCAATAGCTGATAAGCATAAAATTATAATGAATTAATTTAAATTAATACTTATGTACCAGCAATTATGCTTGAAAGTACATACAAACTGTAGTTGTGTGTGTGTGTGTGTTAAAGAGAGGCGTGCTTAGCCAATGTCTGTATGCATATGTGTGTTTGTAGTTGTGTGAGAGTGAAAGAATGTGATAATTTTATGGAAGCTTTGAGTTTTAACTTTCGTTTTAAATTTTTGTTGTAAAATAATGTGCGTTAAGTGCATATTTCTGTAATATATTTAAACTAATATTAACTGAAAACAATTTGTGAAATATGTGTGTTGAAAAGCGAAAAGTAGTAGCATTTTAGGCGCTCTAAAGGAGTGTATAACTAATAAGTTTATAATAATTTATATATTATATAAAAATATTTTCTAATAAAAAAAAAACTGATATACTTATATATTAAATAAATAAACTGTACTATGATTTTTTTTTGTTTTTACGTTTGCGTGCGTTTCAAATGGGTAAAAAATAAATTTTACTGTAAACATAATTAATGTAAGCTAGGCATAACGGCACTTTAGGGAAGTATTAGAATACGAAAATGTTAATGAAGAGTTATTTTTACAGAAATATGTGCTTGCATGGAGACTAAATAAAGTTTTGTAAAATTTTCAAAACATTTTGGGTTTTAAAAAATAATTTTATTTCATTATATGTATGCTTAACGCTAATGGACTTTCGAAAAACTAAGAAAAAATAATTATTTATTTGCGTTCAAACAATATTTCGCTGCTCGTGTTGAATTTGTATGAAAGTTGATATTTGTCTTTGCACAAAAATATGAAAAAAATAAGAAATAGCAATAACTCAAACAAAAATACTTTTATACCTGTGGAAACCATGAAGTATACGTAAAATCTGTATAGTATGATAAGCATATAATAATGAAACAATCAAATTTTTACACATTTAAAAGTTCCGTTAGTTAATCTTAACATGGCGCATTTTTGTTGTTTTTAAAAAAAAAAAGTATATATTTTATGCTAAAGTTTCGAATGTTATCGTTTTCAAAAATTCGTATTTTAAATTAAAGCATACCTTTAGGCTGACCTCTCAGCTTTACTGAAGTAATAAATGTTTCTATTTCGAATTTTGAATATTTGCATAATTTAGTTTACTTTAACTAACGGAAAAATAATTGTTTATGCATGCATTTATGCTGTAAGCGTAAGTTAGTGTTAGCTGTAGTTATGACCGCTTACTGCAATTATGTGCTACATAGTATATATTTATATGCAAATTAAATACAGCCATTAATTCATCTTCTTTAATTTATGAACATATTATAGATATACATACATATATATTTAGTATATGAATATGCAACTGACACTTGTGAGGAGTAGAAGAGAATGTGATGATTATGAAAATTTAAAATATAACAAATAAATGTATACAAAATAGTTCAAAATGGCATTTTAGTAAAATTGACTGGTAAGTATTGTGAGATATATACAAGTATGTGTGTAATGTTATTCACCTGCGAACGCTTGATAAAGCTTTACGTACATATGTGTGTTTGTATATGCGCGGTGAACACTTAAAGCGCTTTAAAGCACAACAATAAGTAAATAAACACCTTATCAATTAGTTAATAGACTGCTAAAACCCACATACGCATTTACATATGTACATAACATATGTGGCGCATTAAAGGCGTTTTCGAGCATAGTAAAAACCAACTTATTAACCCAGCAATGCCACATCTTACGATCGAAATCAATTTCTATTGTATAAAATATACTATTTTATTTCACTTTTCTCAATGAACATATAATAATAACATATAAACACATATATTCAAATATACAGATATAATAATATAATATATTAATATATTTTATGTAATATGTATATACATATGTACATATACGCTAAATAAATATTATGTGCGCACAAATCTACACATATATTAAGTATATAAGCTATTACTAAGTAGGAGCAGCACTGGCATCAACTGTTCTTTTATTTGTATACGTGTTTCCTTCAACACATGGGATTCTGTGATATTCTATAAAAATGGTGGTTATAACTATGTGCTATATTTTGTATAGTCTCAAAAATAAATTAAAATTTTTCGCCGAAATATAGAATTATTAGCCAAAATTGCGCTTTAGACCTAAAATATATGCGTTATTCAAATTCCAACAATTGGCAAAGTATCTGTAAGCGCACAGCACTGTGTGTCAGCTTAAAGTAACTTTTAAAATTCTCACTGTCTGATGCTGGCCAGGACGGTTGGGCTAGTTTTCGTTTTCGCCACTGAAGGCACACATTTCTGAACATGCACAATTTCCCGTATATGCACTAAATTTACACTTCGACAGCTGGGCGTGTTTTGAAATAAACGAAGACAACAATGATTAGCGCAAAGACGCAAACTGCTGGTATTACAACGGTTTTCAACTGATTTTGTATCTCCAAATTCTCAAGTTTGCGCTCCTTCTTTTGCTTGCGTGTCTCTTTCACTTTACCACGGAGTTGGCGCATTGTGCTTTAGTTTTTCTGTTTCCACTTCGCTTACAAGATAAACTGTATGAAAAATTCTATTTATAAGTAATTTGGTGTATATTGAATTTATATTTTTAAAAGCTTACTTTTAAAGTTGCTGGGTTATTATGGGCGGAAAAAAACAAAAAGTAAAACCACTTGCTGGGAAACTGTTGCTTCAACCACTTGTCGAGTGATTTTTGACATTTGACTACGTCAACACATATTTAGGCTACGAAGAAAGTTGGGGCCAACAATGTTGCCAAAGCAGTAGAAAGCGGCCAAAAAATAGTTGGGGAAGTTTTAGAAACAAATTTTGAAACTTTGGCAGAACCAGTGAAAAAGTTCTAAATATAATGTAAATATTAAGAACACTATATAATGAATTCAAAATTTAAAGTTTATCAAACTATTAAGTTGTAAAACTAGTTTCCAACAAATATATAACTTTAATATTATTGGTGTATTTATTTACTATAAAATAAACAAAACATAAATTTAAAAGTATTATGCTTCTTTAATAAATTAATGCTAAATTTTAATTACTACTTTATTTCACACTTCAAATTTACAATGTTTATTTGCCGTTATCCATGAAATCTTTGGCTTCGTTAATCTTCGCCGCCAAATAAGGTGAGCCACCGCGATCAGGATGATTGAGTAACATAATCTTTTTATGCGCATCTTTTATCTATTAGCAATAAGGTATATTAATGGAAATTATAAATATTTGCGACATAGCAGGAAGACTTACCTTCAATTTAGATGCACTGGGACTCACTCCCAAGATTAAAGAGGCCTCACGTTTATTCATTTTGGGATCGAAACCACCTTTGTAGTACTTTGAGTTCGCTAAACTTTCCGCATCAAATTTGGGTAGATTCTTCATGGTCTCATTTAATTTAGTGGCCATAGCAGGCATGCGGCGCATGAGGTGCTTTCCGGCAAAGCCAACCGCGGCCAGACCAATACCGGCGACAATAATGGAACTTGCCTGTTAAGCAATTTAGGTTGGAATATAAATATGAGCATCAAACGTACTCCAAAGAACTTACCATTTTATGTAAGATCGTTTATTCCCCCAGCTGTATGATTCTAGTAGTTTCACAAATTACGCTGTTGTTTTCACATTTTTCTTATACAATCGAAAATGTCAAAATCAGGTGTTACAAATGATAAAATGAAATTCTTTGGGAAAGTAATGCTGCCATATTTTGTTAGTAGTTTATATAGAGAATTTTTTATAGATTACATTTTATGTAATGGACATCATATAAAATATTTTGTATGAAGTCATTACGTGTTGAATAACTTTATATTAATAATATTATCATGTAATATTTATTTACAGTACACCACCATATAAAAGTTGTTTTAGTTAGTATCACCCTGTGTGTATGATTGAACGTATGGCAGCACTGTGCTACTTTATCGTTCTCCTTCCATTATCATATTCGTGTGTTGTTTTGCCAATTTTTGCAAAGCAAGTTCGGAAGTTTCTGAACGTCGCCGATAAGCTTCAAAGTGTAAACTATTAAGTTAAAATAGTGTACGAAAATTTTAGAAATATACCTACACAATTGTGAACCTATTGCACAAAAGTGTTTTGATATTTGAAGTGATAAGCAAAAGGTTTATAATTTCTAGTCTTGCGAAAAAGGGATGAAAATAATGCGCAATAATTCTTGATAACCAGTGCAAATATGAACAAAGGATAGGGCTAATTTGTGAAGGACAAGTTAAAGTACCAAAAACTTGTCTAGTTGGGAAGCCAGCAGCGCAACTGCCTTTTCTCTAACGAATCTAAAAATAGTGGATTGTCTGAAAACTTGTTTGGTAAATCGTTAATTATTGGGCAAACAGAAGTTGTGTTTTTAAGTTAAAAATAGATACAAGAATATTTGGCGTCAGTGTGCAGTTGTATACAGTTAAAAAAAAACGAAAAAGGTAAAAAACTCGTTAATGTGATGCATTCAAATGTATTCTGTGTACCTTTATTAAGTGGATGAATAATTTTCATGCGATCAGCTGTTTCGCGTTTACATCTGACCTCACTTTAGTACCATAAGTGGGACTGAAATGTGCACAGCAAATAAATTCAAATTGGATAAACAATAGTGCGTGCTCTTTCGCGCTAGTGCTTATTGTGTGACGTATTCGTTGATTGTTTTTGTTAGTTCTGCTTGTTAGTGCAATAACATTTACATTTATCTGCTTACGTTTCGTTACGTCTTTTATGGTCATCTCATTCGTTTTCATGGTTTCTGCTTTGGCAGCCTCTGCATACGATTTTCGAATTTTCACTGCGACGAAGAAATATTGTCAAAAAGTGTAGAAATAAGCTGCAAAGCAAAAGCACAGATAACAGCGAATAAGAAAAAAGTGGCGAGTGACACAAACAGGAAAGTGGTTGTAGTAACAGTGAGAAAAAGTGTTTCACAATTTATTTTCTTTGGGTTATTCAATATTATTTATGTTTGGAAAACAAGTTGAATATATAAAGTATTTTAGCAATTAAGATAAAGATATAATCGGCATAAATGTGCAAGTGAATGTTTTCGTTATATTTCGAACAGCTATCTGTGGCCCAGGTCATAGCTCTGCTGCTTAGTGCTTGTGATATTGGTGGTAGTTTTAGCATACCATATATGCTCCCACCCCTTCAATAAATCATTTACTGCAGCTGGTCCAGCACTCTACTAGAAAGTGTTTTTAACGTCAATAAAAACAAGTGTAAGCGTGGAAGCTCTACTTTTGAGCAACTCCATTTCGAACAGACTAACTTATTAGCAAAATCTACAACATTTTTTAACTTAAACGCAGCGCACAGCCGTCAAACTGGAGCGTATACCGGAGTACTTGCGCGACACCGTCGACTGGCTTATGGGGTAAGTGGCAATGTCAATTTTCTTAAAGTTTAAGCATAAATATTTTCCACATGTACACTGCAATATTATGTTTTAGTATATTTTAAATACTACATTTTAGTAAGCTTTTTAAATACATATAAATATGATGCTTACCTAGCAGTTGGCTGGCATAATCCAGTTTCACCAAGTTCTGCACTATAGTTTACACTGTGATAAAATCCTCTCCAAAACTGTCGTCTCCATATCAACGAGGCCCAGCGCTTGCCACTCACGTCAGCCGTCACTTGGGTGATCGTTGTGGGTGCACCTGCTGTAGGACACATACATAGATACTTGATGTACATGTCATAGCCGAATACTTTGTATATTTTCGTTTTTTTGGCTGCTGTGTGTACAATATACATTTTACATATGAGCGTATATAAATACTGCTTTTTGTACTGTGACTGCCTGCCACTTTTTGCCGATTGCTTCGTCGCTTAGTTGGCGGCTTGCCAATTGCCCTCATTTCAACAAATTTTGCCACTAATTCAGCCACCACTAGTAATCTTGCTGCTTCTGCTGTTTTTGCGTGCGCTGTCCTGCGGTTGCCCACTACCACTTGGCACAATATTCTCCTTACTGCTGTTTTATGCATTCTCTGTACATTTGCTTGCTTATGTTTAACTTAATGTCATACTATATCATTTTTCATTTCATATACATTTTACATCTATCACCCATTTATCGACGTACATATGTACAATACATATGCATGTACTACCGAAGAAAATCTTATATACCTTCTGATACATTTCGATTTCAGAATCACTCATCAAAGTGTTTGGTGTGGGTTTTTGTTATTGTTTGCCTTAGTTCTAAAATAGTTTGCCACACTCATTTGTAGGTGTGTATGCATAAGCGGATATTTGGGAAAATTTTGTGCCTGTTTATTTTATTATATATTTGGGATATTTCACACACTCTTTCACATTCAAAGTTCGGCTAAATCGATGTTACTTATTGATTTCTCAATCGTTGTACCTTTCTTAGCTTTTCTGAAGTATCGTCTGCATTTTCTATATTTTGTGCTTGCTTTTGTTGTAACGCAAATACTTACAAACTGTTTTTGTTTTGGGTACAAAGATTTTCTTGTTACGCTTTGTCGTCTGTCAGACATACTCTTGTGTTGGGGTCACTTCACAATTTGAATGACAGCGTTTTGTGTCGGAAAATTCCTAATGTTTTCCTTTGCTGGCAAAACGGATCACGTGTCTGCGTGTATGTGTTTTATAGCTTCGTTAATTACAAGTGCCGTGATTTACGTAGGCATTGTGGTTCTCGTTGGTGTTGCAGGCATTTTTAGTTCTGGTTAGTCTACCAAAGCTGAAAATTTCCTTTGCTATTTATATTTTTTTATAAGAATTTTGGACAGAGATATAAGTAGTGATATTGGTTGGGTTAGGTTAGGTTAAAAAGTCGATTTAAAGAAGTATCTCATTTGGACAGCTTTGAACGCCGATCCCTTGTGGTAAGGAGAGAGAGGAGGAGAAAAAGCCTAGTTGTTTCCACCTAACCCTCCTCTATACAACTTTGACAACTAGCGTCTAGCAAGACTGTAGCGAGATGAGCTTTGCTCAGAGCGAGTAGTTCATTAGATCTCTTGCGTTCTACTCTAGGCCAGAAGGAGCTCGCGGTCGCACAGAAGCTGATCGTCGATCAGCGCCTTATAAGTGCACACGAGGTACATTGGTCCAGCGCTAGAACGCTAGACGCCAATGGAGATCCAACTCAGTTCTATTTCGCTGTGAACGGGGAAAGCGGTCCCGCTGTGACCAGGCAACCAAACGAGTCTGATGTTGTTATACAAGGTAAGTGGCAGGCCGGTCATAAACTACGAAGTAGCTTCAGACCTGTCAAAATACAGAATTCCGAACGATTACAGGACGCAGTAACCATCCCTGCAGTCGTCTGTTTAAAGCGAAGCCGACTGCTAGGAACATCAAGTGATGTTTACTTGATCACGTCGACGACATGGAGCAGTACGCCAACCAGACTTCGGACGCAACAAACTTTAGACACGCGCTTACCGCCATTCACAGTCAATCTATTAACATCGTCACCGACTACCTCCCAGTGAATGGCGTGATTGCTCGAGTTGCACCGGGAATCTAGAGTGACCCTTGCGGAACCTCGTTCTCTATACTGTAGCAAGTTAAACTCCTTCTTATCCAGAATCTCCCTCGTTATACCAAATATATATGTATATGTTCAGTGCGCAATGAGTCGCCTCATGACTCTTACCAACTCTTTGCATGCCCAACGAGCCCCACTCATCTAACATTCAGCTCCCTACGATTCCCCCACGTCTACCGTTAGATGACTTCAATGAGAATCAACCCCAACTTTACCACCTAAGCGGGTATTAGTTAACAGCTACAACCACACAATTGCGGTTAAACTATTTATCCCAAAGAACTAACCTGAATATAACATGATATCTGTAAATTGAGCAGTTCTCCCAGAATTATTGATGTTTTTTTTCTAAATCGCATATGTTCGAACCTGCTGGATTCGCGCGTTTTGTGTACATCGTTAGAGAACTTTGGCGAATACTTTTGTTTTTGCTCTCCCCGCTTTAACCAGCTTCTGGTCTCCACTACAGATGCAACAATACATTTATATATAAGGTTGTCAAATTTTTGTCTTTTGAATTTCGCGGCTATGTACAAAGGGCTACAGAGCTCGTATCTGGCAACACTATACATAATTTGAAAGGTCTTGACATAACCTACAAAACAACGCTATGCATGATTAGTTTGGATATTGCGTTCAACAGTTATAGACGTGTAAACATGGAGTTCACTAACGCCGAAATTCGCGCTATTTTAAAGTTTTCCTTCGTTAAAGGCAAATCCGCTAGAGACACGTTCCGTGAGATTAATGGTGTTTTGGGGGATGGTACTCTATCACTTCGAACCGCGGAGGAATGGTTTCGACGATTCAGAGCCGGTGAAAACGACACCATGGATAAGCCAGCCGGCGGAAGACCTGTGACGACAAATATCGATCAAATCATGGAATACATCGAGTTAGACCGGCATATGGCATCTCGTGACATCGCCCAGGAGATGGGAGTTAGTCACCAAACCATTTTAAACCATCTGCAGAAGGCTGGATACAAAAAAAAGTTTGATGTTTGGGTGCCGCATAATTTGACGCAAAAAAACCTTCTGGACCGAATCAACGCCTGCGACATGCTGCTGAAACGGAACGAACTCGTCCCATTCTTGAAGCGGATGGTGACTGGCGACGAAAAATGGATCACATACCACAATATCAAGTG